AAAAAATGAAATGATCAAAAATAAAAATACCATACAATCTAGTTAAAAGTGATTTAAATAGATGGGAAAAAAATCTATATACTTTTCAAGAAATTATGTTTTAGATGAACTATACAATATGCATAGTAATAATGCTGCTAATAATTAATTTAAAAAAAAATAATAAGATTTAATTAATTACCTTTATTTATATATTATAACTTTTTCTTTTAAAAAMAATATGCAGTAAATATATACCTACATGAAATAATAATACTGCTCTTATACAATTCTGCTTCTAACGACCTATATTAAAAAGAACTTTAAACATACATAATGACATTATATAACAAATGTATATGATGCTCACTTTGGAATTGTATGAATWGAACATTTAACTATTTAATAAACTAAACAATAATTTTCACTACGGTGTTAAAAATATAATTAGTTATGTCTGATAAAATGTATATATTTTTGTTTTTAGAAACAAAGCTGATTTGGTAGAATATCGTCCAATATGTGAGCAAATGGACGCGGTCTTCATAACTGGAGGTCTGGAAAATAGGAATATTATATTATTATATTTTCAGAACAGTACATTTTTGTTTTATTTATTTATAACAAGTTTTTCTTTTTATCCCACATATTTATCTTCCTCCATACTTGAATGCTCTTGGTAAGTCGTAAGTCAGACACTGGATATACATAAATGTTTATACGGTATAGTAAGTGGTCGTCACGGCAGCGCAGTGATTTGTGCGTTATATAGGCCGCGGCTTATATGCACGACGTTTTCTGTTGAAGTCACAACTCACTGTCTTATATCGAAGTAGCTTAACACGGCGGATGTAAGTGCTCTTTCACACGAAGCCACCATGGTCGCGCGTCGCGCCACCATAAGATATTAATAATTAAACTAGAGTCGTTGTGGATGATAGTTACAGCGGCCAGCCGAAACCACACTTGCCATACACATATACAACATTGCGGCTTTAAAATTGTATACTTTTACGTATAGGAGTGATGTGATAAGTTATCACTGATAACATATAAATGCGTGCAATTCGATATTGAGTTATTAACTAAAGTATAACATTCGAATTTTCTTTTGCAGTGATTTCACTCATCGGGCCACAATTTCTTTTATATTCTATTAACTATTGGTTTTGAAATTTGTTCAGAAATCCTTACTTGGTAAAATTAAAAACATGTAAAATATTTGTCAACACGTGTTGCTAGTTAGTATCCAAGTTTGGAAAAATTAATATTTTCAAAATTAAAAGATATAACTTCAGATAGAAATTAAAAAAACATCATCTTTGAGAATAATTAATATAATTGTAATATTATTTCATAGAGAATTGGAACTTCTTGCCATGCCGTAAGTCCACAATTACGTCTTAAAAATATGTGGATTAATTTTAAGCTGTTTATGCCATACAATCCAATTTACATCGTTCTACGGTGTATTAACTATCAGTTGATAATAGATTACCAGCTAGTAATATTATAATATTATTTGATAACACCTTTTATATAGCTGAGTGATTTCCGAGTTTTTATTAATTTGACAATTAATATTATAGATATTCTTACCAATTTCGTTGATATTTTCTAAGTCGAAATACAAATATCATAATATAAATTTTGATGATACTCATGTGAAACCATAATATTTCGTATTGATCCAAGTAATATTTTAACCTATTTTTTTTATGGAGGTACCTATTGACGATATTAAATCATTAAATCAAGTACCTATTATATATGTTTTTTAAGTTGCATCATTAGACGTTTTATATATGAATAAAATAGTCGTTAAAGTACTTACACAATTTATTCAACATCTTTATATACACAGCTGTTTTGTTAAAAAGGCACTAAGCAGAATAATATATTACGTGTGAAAAGTAAAAACAAAATTTTATTGTAAAAAATGGTATTTAGTCTAAATCATACGAATTAACAACGTCGCACTATACAATATTATACTTCATAATGTGTACAATGTACATAGTATTATACATTCAATATAATAGGTATATAAATTCATTGATTCAATAAATTACAAATAACTTATAATTTATGATTAATGATCGATACATCGGTAATTATTATTAATCTATGTCAAACAATGAAATTGAATTTTTATTTCATATATTTTTATTACAATACCTATTAATGACTTTTATTTACATAAGGCATATTATATTTAAGTGCCTTATAAAAATTATTATATCAATTATAGTGATATAGGTAACGCGACGTGAATGTAGTATAGGCATTTGTAATAAATAAAACATGTTAAGTTAGTAATACAA